TGCATGGGGGGGTCTTATAATCTTATAATAGGGGGTTGCGTCAGGTTTCCCGGAAAATTTATCAATTTCCTTGAAAATAGATCACCTGGCACTTTTACCAAATGTGCATTTTGTTGATCTTTATATCAGTTGGTGCAAAAAGGTTGTCGGGAGAATAGTCCAAAAGGAGTTTTCATGGTTTCAGAACTCCATACGATCACAGCTTCAATATAAAGCAAAAATTCAAAGTTTGTTAGAATTGTCATTTTGCCATGCAGTCAAGTGGTGTATAAACAGCAACAATGTATTTCTGTCTTGGAATGCTGTGCAGTATACAGTATTCATCAATGTTTTTTGAAATGGATTTATACAAACATTTAGAAAATGCAGAAAGTATGATCACATCGTCAAATAATACTTATATTGCACTCATAGGGGCTTATCACAAGTCGAGTACACTCGGTATTCACTTTAGGATACACAACATGCAAATTTCAAAATTGTGTTTCCACTGATGAAATCAAAAGTCAGAAGACTAACATGCAAGTTCGTCACTACTTAATACTTTAACAACTTCAATCGTTTAATCTAATAAGGAAGCTACAAATAACAAAGTGCAGTTTGTGCTAGATGGGTATCAAGATTGAGCAGAAGTACATATGTACTGCTGGATTGAGGTTTGGCTACCAGAGGTGGAAGTTGATGCCGATGCATGAGGTGCAGTCTTGCTGGAATACGGCTTCAGAATCGACTTTAATTCCTTCTCTGCATCTTTTATCATGTCAAAGATCGGTTTTATACTTTCTTCCAGACCTTTTGTGGCATATTTTAAGGTTTCGATTTTCTCGCGACACTTCTCAGCATCCTTCAATTTGTCATGAAACCTTTCTAAGAACTTTCGGAGCTTTTCGGCTTGATTATCATTAATCTCAACATCCAACCCTGCCAATTCGGTAGCCAAGGAGACGCTCCATATCACGACTTCCTGTTGTGCCAGAGCGTTTGGTACGTAGATAAGAAACTTGCCTTCCCGGTGATTGACCTCGAATTTTCCATTTTTGCATTTCATAGCGATGCCAGATTTGTCAGACAACATAATGCCTACTTTGACGTCGCCAGAGAGCACATTTGTCTTAAACTTCTCAATTTCAGCTTTAGGTACATTGGTTTGGTAGTACTTGACTTCAATCAAGAATTGGTGGCCCTCTGGACTTGACATACGGTAGTCTCCCTTTTTTCTTTCTTTTGAGACGTCCTTGATAGTATAATTAGGAAAGTTTTTTTGCAAAATTGAAAGCACTTTGTTCTCGCCTATTACTCCTTTTGTTGTGGGCTTTTGAGAATCTTTTTCCAATCCTTTGATTGCCTTGTCAATGCTTTTAATCTCTTGTATAATCCTTTCTTCCATCTTGCCTACGGGTAGAACTTTTTTGGACACTTCAGAGACCTCTTTCACTAGTCCATCTTTCAAATCGTTGACCTGTTGAGATATCTGACGTTTGCTCTCTTCGAGACTACCTGCTACAGTCCTATCGATCTTGTTTATATTCTTTTCCACTTCATTAGGGAGCTTATCCATCACGCCATGGATTGGCTTCATTTGCTTCTCCAGTTCTTCCTTGACAAACGAACTGTTTTCAAGAATAGTGAGAGTAAAGGATTCCTTTACTGCCACTCCAATATTGAAAACCTGCACGAGCTCTTCGTTAGTCATTTTTTGAATTGTTGGACTGTACTGAGAGATATCTATTCTAAGGATGCGGGTTTGTTCTTGCTGCTGTATAGTAGGTGGCTTTTCTTCGCCCATTTCGAGTTCATGTTCTTCTTCTGAGAAACGTGTTTTTTTAGCTGGAACTTCAGCGGCCATTGTTTCGAAAGTAAAACTACAGCTTGCTTCTAACGTGAAAGCGACTACGAATGACGCTCAGATCTTTCCTGCTCTTTCCTAGCTGATCCGAGATGGCGGTTGGTTCAAGAGTCGATTCTAGGCTACCCAACTATATTGCTTGAGAGAAAGAATGAATTATGTTATCGAATCGGCGCGGGCGGTGGGTTACCTGTGGTATATTACGTCACGATCGCGCGTCTCTCGCGGGATACAAACTAGTCTGCGACACGCCATACACACGGTCAGCGGTTGTACGATTTTTGGCTTGTGTTTGCGTTATTTATTCATTCATTTTTTATTTTTTTTTTATTTATTTATTTATTTATTAATTTATTTATTTATTCATTCATTCATTCATTCAGCGGTTGTACGATTTTTGGCTTGTGTTTGCGTTATTTATTTATTTGTTTATTTATTTATTTATCGTTTTTTGTGTGTGTTTGCGTTATTTTTTTTGAATACTTTTTAGATGTAAAGGTCACGTTTTCAGGCGCGTAGCGTCTTTTACGCATATACGCACGTGCGTACTAGTGGCAAGGAAATATTAAATTTTTCACGAAAATTACTGAAAAATTCACATGAAATCGATCCCTTTTATATGCTCTCGATGTCTCTCAAAACGCTGGAAATCGCATTTCCAAGAGTTATTATTTTAAAATTTCCTGGGGGAGGTCCAGACTCCCTTAATACTCCCGCCTTACAAGATCCAATATATGTGTCGCGGTCCCTGACATGTGCGTACTAGCCAAAACGTCCACGCTACGCGCCTGGTTTATTTATTCGCGGAAGTATTCATCAAGGTCATGAACGTTTTGATGACGTTTCGCAATTTCGGATTGGAATTCGCGAAAACAGGTAGCTTGAAAAAAACGTATACTGCCTGAAGAATTTTGCGTTACGTGACAAGTTGCATCACACCACTACGATGCTGATGTGAACTAACATCTGTTATACGTTGTGAAAATGAAATAGCTACTGAAATAATCTTACAATAAAGGGGTTGTGATTTCAATTTATAACATGCAGTGCTGGGGGTGGTTATATGTTTTCAGACAGAGATGTATATAATTTTGCCTAATAAATGAAAGTCCCCTTAGTAGTCTGACGTCACTTCACATCATGTGGTCTTTCTATCTCATCATTTATTTTCCCTCTTTCAGGACCCAAAACGACATCTAGAAGAGAACGTTGATGTAGTCATGACGTCCAACATTGTACAGTGCTTAGGAGCAATGATCAACTCTGTTGTATTTTAAGTGTTCCTAGTATGTAGTGTGCGTAGTTGCCTGCATAAGGCACCAAGATAAACCAAACCAGTCTTGTATATTAATGTATTATTGTACAACATTATTAAAAGATTTAACTGTCATGCATCAGCTGTGTAGGTAAATTTATTTCCTGATTAATAA